GTGAAGTATAACAGCAGTGGAATATGACTTGTCCCATTTTTCAGATAGGAAAATTAGAGCGCAGTGAGGTTATGTGGCTTTCCCAAGGTCACAGGGTAAATTTGTGGTAGAGTTGGGAGTTGAATCCAGGGGCCTTGCTCTTCCCCTGCAGGATACAAGTAAGTCCAGTTGACCTCAACAGAAAATACCAGACTGCTCTGTCTCCTACTTCAAACACACATACGCTCCCTCCACAGGCAAAATGTTGAAGGTCAATAAGACCACTAAGTAGTAGCAATCAAATAACACCACAAGACAGTTCAATGCCAGCTCACTTAAAGAGATGAAGGATGAAGCCACAGCATTCTTGGCCAGAGGGAGCAGCTACCTCTTGCTCTCTCCATGCAGTACTGAGCACTCTCCCTCCCACTCTGGAAATGACTTTAGCAGTCTGCTCCTTGGAGGCACCAAAGCATCCCAAGAATGATGAAGCATAAACTCAATAATAAAATTACATTAAATTAAAAGCAGGCGCCAGGAAACCATTTAATCATTCCCTGGCAAGGGAGCAAACCTCTGCTCCCAAGTGCCAAAACCTGAAAAACAAACATTTCAAATCAAGATTTCAGCACAAACAAAGGAGACACATGTGAAATTAATTCAGCAACATTTAGAGTAAGCAGCAAGGCTTTTACTGCAATCATCTCCAGGGCAAGAATCCATTTACCACAACAATATCAGTGATTTACAAACAATAGGTTGGAAGGAGATCATGGTTTTTAATTACTCATTTTATTGAAGATTAAACTGTAATGGATACATACAACTCTTTTGCCTGCAAAAACTAACATTGGATGATGCAGTACTAAGAATACAAAGCAAGGCTAACTAGCATGTGGATGCAAACCACTGTCCTCTACTGGCTCAGATCAGAATTGTTCAACTGTATTAGCAACTTTCTGGGGTGTTGCTTGTAGCCATGTTGGTCTAAGGACATAGGCAGACAAGGTTCTTTGGGTAAATGTAATATCTTTTATTAGACCAACTAAATAATTGGACAAATTGTTCTTTGCAAGCTTTCGGGTACAAACACCCTTCTTCAAGCAGAATCTCCCTTTGCCTGAAGAAGGGTGTTTACCCCAAGAACCTTGTCTGCCATTAACATCTTTAGCACTCTTCTTTAGCTCAAATAGCAGTAGCTACTTGTACTGTAGCGGCACCTAGAATTTCATTGCACTAGGGACTATATAAATACGGAATTAAAAGACAGTCCTTGTCTGAAAGAGACAGAACAAGGGGATCTGACTTCTATCACTATGAACATTCAAAGTGGCGGTGTTGTGAAGCATGAGAACAACTTGTCATGGGAGCATACCTGCATGCTAGGGGCTGCAGTGCATACCACTTCAGAGCATATGGCAAGATTAAATAGTTAGTTATATCAGCTATGTGGGGAGTCAAGAAGGGCTGTAATCAATGGCAGGGGCTGCATGTTGCAGTGCTGAAGTGTATGCTACTCTACAGGCACGGACAAAATTATGTTTTGTCACGCAGTCGGCCCCCTGAAGTGCTGTATAGCAATGCCCTGACAGAAGTGCACAACTGGAGAGCACTACAAAAGTGCCTGATCAGGGGACAATCTGGACCCTCATTACATGAGGGTTCAGATGTAGGTGCTCCAAAATGAAGTGCCTTCATTAACTTCTGTCAGTGCACTCTGGGAGCAGGGCTGGGCTTATGCAGCCCGATCCTTCCCCTAGTGTTGTCTTGAGAGTGGGATGGGGAGAAGAGAGAGAAGGGAGTTCCATCTGGGGTTTGCCCAGTCTGTGCTGGAGGGTGAGACAGGTGGATTAGAGCTCCCCTGAGGTGGGCAAAACCCCAGATTGAGCTCCCTCCCATCCTGAAGACAGCACCGGAACTGGGAGGGGTGGGGGCAGTGCTAGGAGAGAAAGGTTGCAGACACACAGCCACTCCAAACTCAAGCTCAACCCCAAACCCCCAAGATCCAACAGCAAAATTCTGTTGGGCTGGGGGGACAGCTGTAACTCCTGGCGCTTCCTGTGAAGTACCATGAGTTAAAGTGAGGAGCTCCACATCTGTCAATGTCCCAAATGTTTTTCAATGACTGGTGCCTCAAGAGCAGAACTGCAACCACAGTGAACTGTGGCCACCTGTATTTGATAGTTATATGTTGCCCTTTGTTCTAGTCAGGTTCTTATGTACCTTTTTAGGTTATCTGAGCAGCTTATGACCCCAAGGCCAAAGGAATGAAAGTGCTGGAGGAAGCATGATAGGATTCGGGCCAAGACTGGGGTAGACCAAAGCCCTGTGATTCACAAAGTCAGGTCAGCTTGCCAGTGTCAGTTTTATTAGGGATTTGAAGAAATGGATGAGAAGTGAAGTGGTACAACTTGCAGATGGCAAAAATGCTTACATTAGTTACAACTGGCAAGACTGCAAGAAAGTGCTAAAGGAACCAACAAGTGAGGTTCCCAGGCAGCACTGTCTGTACTGTTAGATATATCTCTGACTCACCTAAATGTAACATTTGAACATCATACAGTTTTATCAGAAGCAAGGATTATTGTGGGTAATATCTTTTATTGGACCAGCTGGATAGTTGGGAGGGACATAAACAAGCATTTGGGTACCACTCTACCCTTCCCCAGTTCTTTTTTCCTTCATTTTTACTACATTTATCCTCATAACACACCTGTAGGGTAAAGAGGTATGGCTATGCCATTTTACAGGTGGGAAACAGAGGGCATTTTTACACATGTAAGCGCCGCAGCGTTGAGCACTTTGAAAAGTGAAAACGGTGCTGCAACGCTTGCATTGTATAAGTGTTGAAATGCGTGTCAATGCTAAGAAAATGACAGTGGTGTACTTTTGAACTAAAAAACATTGGAGGTGCTTTAGTTCAAAAGTGCACTGTCTCCATTTTCTGCGCACTGATGCATTTTACCACTTATAAAACTGCACACAGCTCAGCATGGTGCGTGTCAGCTCACATGCAGAGCAGACTTGATTAACTGAGTCTGCTCTGAGCCTGCTCTCAAGTGGCAGATCTCCAGTGTACCGCAGAATGAAAAAGTATGCATATAAATGCCCAGAAAGACTAAATGATTTGCCCAGTCACCTAGGAAGTCTGTGGTAGACCATAGAAACACCCATGTCTCCAATGTCCCAGTCTGACATTCTCCCATGACACCACCCTTTTCCCCCTAGCAAATAAAATTCAATTTAGAAAACACCAATTTGAAGAAATCACTTGAGCTATTCACACACATACATTTCTGTCAGAGTAGTACTTAGCTTTGAAAAGAAAAACATGTAAGTCAACTTTGGGCAACTTGTTGCATAACAATGGTTAAAAAAAGAAACCCAATTAACATACTTGAAAGTATATAAAAAAGGACAGAAAATAGTAAGATGTCATCATCAAGTATTACCAGTGCATCCTAACCTTGAATACTGTCTTTGGATGTATTCACCCACAAAAGGATACAGCAGATATTTTATTTCAAAAGGCCAGAGAAGAGCAGTGAAGTTAATCAGAGACATGCAAAATTCCAGAATGGGAGGGTTTAGATCAGTGGGGGCCAACCGTTTTTGCAGGTGCCACGAATTAGCTCCACGCCCTCTGAGTGCCACTCTGATTCCTTTTCTCCATCTGATCTGCTGTGCTTCCTGCTTGATCTGTTGCTCTTCTTTCTGCTTCATACCCTGCGCTCCCTGCCTGATCTACTGCTCTGCTTCTTGTTCTCTGCCATACCTGCAGCTTTGCTTCCTGACCCTCCCTGCAGCCCTGACCAGGAAGGCCCCTGGGGACTGCAGAGCCATTTCCTTTGTCTCTGGTCTGTTCACGTCTCCAGGCAGTTTCACTGGGAAGTGTCCCCTGACTCCTTGGACTGGTTTGAGTATGGACACTGTCTGGTATGCTCAGCTTGGTGTCCTCCCCCGACTCGAGCACTTGTTTTGAACTTATGACCCTCACTTGCATCCCTGTTGTCTTTTATTTGTCCCAAGCAATCAATGACATGCCCTTAGGTGGCCCCCATCAGCACAGGGGGCTTATAGCTCTACTTGGTGGGCTTCAGCCCACATCCCAGAATAACACAGTACAAGGCCTGTCCTCTCCCCGATGCCCTGGCTGGGACAGTCCCCAGGGACTGTGGGGCCATTTTCCTGTCCCTGGTCCATTCATGTCTCCAGTTTCACTGGGCAGCATCCACTGGCTCCCTGGACTCAATGGAGGGCCAGTGGGCACTGGCTAGTGTGTTCTGCTCCATGTCCCCCTGCTGGAGCACTTGTTTTAAACCTCCCATCCGTTTCCTCTTCAGCTGCCCCCAAACTCAGTTGGCACACACCCAACAGCCCCCTCTAACGACAGGTGGGGGTAGCTCACTGCTGCTCTGTGGGCATTAAGCTGTGTTAACCTTGCGTGTCACACAGGCCTGTCCCCTCCTTATCCGCAGCGTGCTACACGGGGGGTATACTTGCAGCCCCCGTGCCGCAGGCCTCACCCCCTTTCTACAGGTAAGATCTTGAGGACAGGAAGTCAACGGGGCTGAGGTCCTGAGGTGTTTCCTGCTGCAAACAAGGAAGGCTGGAAGAAACACAACGAAGAGCATGAGCGGGTAAGAAGAGCTCTTTAAACTGGAGGCGATATTGGCACGAGAGCAGCCCGGCACAACCCGCCCGTGCCGACATCCAGCTGGAGCACGAGGCATCTACCGCTCGGAACACGGATAGCCAGGAAGCAGCCCAACTTCAGATTCCTGTCCCCCCACTTCCGTCCCGTGAAACTCGGGGCAGAAACACTTCCGCCCTCACCACTGCGAATGTCCTCTTAAGGAACCGGAAGTTGTTTACTTCTGACAGCACCTCCTCCCCTCTTACCGGAAATACGTCACCAGCACATTACCCAAGGTGCTCAGAGAGACGCTTGTTTCTGGCGCCGAGCGGCCTCTTTCATTGGCTGGTTTTCCAGGGCTGTTGCTCGGGGTGACGCGCTGCCCGGCAGTGATTGGTAGGTGTGTGCGCAGGCGCAGTCGGAGGACTCTGTCATGGCGGGTAAGAACGTGGTGTTCGTGACCGGCAACGCCAAGAAGCTGGAGGAGGTAGAGGAGGGGCGTTTGGCGGTGGGGGCAAGGCGCTCTGGCACCTCAGGCAACGTCATCGTTGGGGACCAGAGTCAACCCGGGGCGGGGCAGGCCTTTGGAGTGGCGTTTCCTTTTGTCTGTCACGTTCATCTGCACCTGGGCCTGAAACCCCCACGCAGAGGTCTGGACTCTGCCCTGCAGCGTTCTTCCCCGAATATTCCCAGATCAGTGCGTGTCTCGGAGCCAAGTTACAATCTGCTAAACTGAAGACTCTGCTTGCAGATTTGTATTTTAAACGCACCGCATGGCTATAGGACATGACCCAGAGGGGTGATGTGGCTGAGGACCTATCTAAGATCACTAATTAACAGAATTAGTTTACCTGTAAAACAAAACAAAAAAAAAAACAACCAAAAAAACTGCTTTGCTGAGCATTTCTTTACCCAGACTCTACTGTGATTTTTTTTCCCCAGATAAAAATCTTGTCCAGTATTTTTTTCATGGCGTTTATCTAAAACTCAGACAAGTGATCTTTACAAAATGTAAAAGTTACTGTAGACAAGCTGTTTACATCCTAACCTCTGCCATTGTTCTTAGATACTAAATGCTTAGACTTCCTGGCAGTGGCGATGCACGTGCACCCCCTGAGAGTGCTGGTGCACCCCCTGACAGCCAGTGTTCCCCACTTAGGCCACTGGCAGGGTGGGCAGGTGGCAGCACTGGTCCCCCCCTCCCCACACCCCGCCACTCCAAGAGTGCCGGCCGGGGAGTAGGGGCACCGGGAGAAGCGCCGCCCGCACTCTCGGGTCGGCACAATTGGCTGCAGGGGGATGCATCGTCCCCCCTGCCCCCCGCAGCTGCTGACTGGCCACTGGGGGGGAGGGGGGCAAGTGCTCCTCCTGACTCAGGCGGCACCAGTTGCCCATGCTTCCTGGGGTCTCTTTCTTTCTTTAAATCTTTCTTGTCCCACAGCATAAATCAAATATTTCCTTTAAGACATGATTAGTCTTGTAGGAAAAGAGAAATATAACATGGTCCAGTTTACATGGACTGTGGGGGATTACCTTCCTCTGTAACGGGGGGTGGGGGCAGGTTAGGGTGTTGTGTCTTGTGTTGCATCTGGGTTAACAGGGTAGTTTTACAAAGAGTTTAGATTATAGATTTGTGTGGGATGGTTTGGATAGGGATGATCCTGCCTCAGGCAGGGAGCTGGATTAGATGACCTGTGGAGGTCCCTTCTAGTCCAATTTCTCTGTGATGTCTATGAACAGATGGATGCCATCTTTCCTCAGAATTATCTGAAGGATCTTTCTTTTTCATTCTAAATAGGTCATTCAAATTCTAGGGGATAAGTTTCCATACAGTATGGTTGCAAAAAAAATTGACTGTAAGTGCACAGTTTTTTTCACTTGTTAATTGCTGACATTTTAAAGGCCTAGTAGCCATTTTTCAAATGATTCCCTCCCAACTTTTTTGTTTCCAGTACCAGAATATCAAGGAGAACCAGATGAAATTTCCATTCAGAAATGCAGGGAAGCTGCAAAACAGGTAATTTGCTTTTTCTTTTTACCACTGTCACAGGTTTTATTAAAACATTGCTTCAGAGTAATCAACAGTCTTGCTTAAATGGCCTGCTATGACCAACAAGCATAAAGAGGCACTTTTTGGCTAGTGGAAAATTAAATGCTCGTGAACTGACTGGGTCCAACAGAAGGGACTCAGGATATTTGAATATAGCTATAGAAGAATGTATCACTGCCCTTAGGGGAATCCAGGTCTGGCCCACAAAAGGACTGTATCTGACCTGTAGAACCAACACGGTAGTGCTGCCGTGTAGCAGCAATCAATGGCAGGGGGATCCATGATGTAAGGTGCCATGCAGTGGCATGTGGTAGAGACACAGATTGGTGGCAACTGGTCTACCTTAAGGCTTGAATTAACAAACTTCATTAATTTGGCTTGCTGCATCTCAGAGGATGGCCTGCCTTAGATCTTTTTCTGATCTGATACAAGCTGAGAATGAGGTCAGCTCAGCTGGCTTTAGCTGGTTTGGGAGAATGCTGCTACAAGGATCTCCATCTCAGGCAATTAGTATTCTTGTCTTTGTAGCACAGGGGCAACGTAAAGCATTTTGAGTGTGTGATCTGCAGTCCTCTGGCCTCCCGTATCCCTAGAACACAGTTCATACCTGTTCATGAACTGACAGGGCTCCTTTGTTTCTACCTTATCTGATTGGTAATGATGTTGCACCCTGTTAGCCTCTGATTTTAACAGGGTGCCTTGAAAAGAGCCTGTAAGAAAATTATTTTTTTCAAAGACAGCTTGATTGTGGATCTGATGAAAGACATCAGTGTAGAAATGCAAAAAAAACCCTCTCCTTTTTCAGACTCTGTCATTCCCCAGTAAAGAAGGAAGGGGCCCACATGAATTATTCAGATTAGCTCTGCTCAGTGATCTAAAGCAAAACTTTTTTCTGCTTTGGCAGTGCGACTACCAGCTATTGGTGGTAGGAATCACAGGCTTTTTCACCTGCTTTCTCATATATAGCCTCAAATTTAAGGAGTTTTGGTGCTTTGCTTTCATGAAGCTCTTAGCATTTTGTGGAAATAAAAGTGGTAAGAAAAAAAGCCAAATTTGGAAAACACATTGTCCCCTTAAATCTAATGATTCTCTTTCTATCCCTTCCACTCTGCAGATCCAGGGACCTGTTATAGTAGAAGACACTTGCTTGTGTTTCAATGCCTTGGGGGGACTCCCAGGACCATACATGTAAGTGAAACTGAAATTCACATATCATTTTATTGCACAACTGTAGATTGTTGGGAATGCTTCATGCAGGGCTTTCAAAACTCCTTGAACTCTTTTCTACGTTAGTGTTGTTCTAGCTCCTACAACTTCAGCTCAGACAAGGAGGATGGAGATAAAATTTGTACTTGGGTGTTTCTTGTTTTTATGTATGTTACTCGAAAATTATTGCTTGTGACATGATGTACTCCCAAACTGCTGCTCCCTGTCCGTGTACCTGTCATTGGGCCTGGCCTTGCAGAGGAATCCACATGAATGGATCTTTGCACCAATTCAGACATCACTAGCAGGATCAGCTTTTGTGATTGGAGAAAAATCATCCCCAGCACAACTACATCCAAGTTATTAAGGGGTTATACCAAGGAGGAATTCTGCCCATTATGCTTCAGCTACAGAGAGAGAGCTACTATAATAATTTTTAAAAAAATTCAAGTCACTGGATTTATATTACTGCATAATGGGAATCTTGAGACTTGTAGTTCAGTGTGTAACAGGATTTCCAAATGTAGAGGCTTTTAACTAGTCTAACAAAGTTCTACCTTATATATTGACACTGTCTTTTATTTTACCCCTGGGTCGCGACCCAAAAGTGGGTCACAAGAATATGTGAAAGGGCCGCAAACAAACTTTAAAAATGGATCGAGCTGTAAAAATGGATTCTCTTGTAAAGGAGAAAAGTGTGGGAACCCATGGGTTTTCCCTCGGAGACTGACAGTTCCAGCCTGCAAGGGGCTCTCTGGGGCCCCCTGTGCCCCCCACACTCTCCGTGGCCCACACACTTGGGGGCAGGGGGCACCAGGTCGGGAGTGAGGGGCTCTGGGTCAGTACTGGTCATCAAAGTTTACAAATGGGTCTTGGTACGAAAAAGATTGAAAACAAATAGCAAAAGAATTTTAGGCCAGAGAGCTACAGAAGCATGTATTTAAGAAGCAGGATCAGATTTTACAGTGAACTTGAAGGTGGTGGACTTATAAGCCTGCACAGAGCTCCACTGATTTTAGTATTACTCCCAGGAGTGCCTGACTTGCTGGTGTGAGGGGTAAATCGGTATTTTATAGCACAGGATTGGTGGTACTAGGAAAACTGTGAGAAGAGAACCCTCAGTAGAAATGTTTCCATTGATGATAGCAATGACCAAAAAGTAATTTCCAACTGACATTTGTTCTCTCTTTCTTGTTTCAGAAAATGGTTTCTAGAAAAGTTAAAACCAGAAGGTATCTTCCTCTGAATTATTGTTCAATGTCACTTGCTGATCAATGATAGCAGGTTCCTGGGAAAGAATGCCACCTTGCAGCAACACAATACAGATCTCTTTCCCTTCAAGGTTTTCATGCCATTCTCCTTGCCTGGTTCTCCTTCCTCTCTTTCTCTCTACCTCTCTGTCCTTAGCCCTCATCTTCATCCGTACCTTGTTACAAATGAGCTCATCTGCCTAATAACTTCTGCAGCTGTCTCTGTGTTGATGACTTGCTGGGCCATGCAGCTAAATATATCATTACATGGGTATTCAGCTCAGGCTTCCTGTCTATCCCTGGACATTACTTTCTGCTAGATAATAGTCACAAGCATGTGCAATGGGAAATAGACTGACTGAAAGTGATGGAGATGCAGTGTCATTAATATCAGATGAATAAATCTTCAGTAGAATCCACTTAAGACATCTGTAGGCAAGAACATAAGACCATGAGGCAGGCATCCATTTAAATCATGCAAATGGCTTCATATCATGCAAAGCTATTTCAGAAAGTAATGGCAATTTCAGAATAAAACCATTTTGTGTGCAGTGATTATTTGCTGGACCACATGACTTCACTACAGTCATAAATGGTGAGTGAGTTCAGCAATGCTGCCATCAGTTATGTATTTTTCCTTGCCCCCTCCCATGTTGTGTAGTTTCCTACTCATTGTACACCAAATGGTTTTATTTCAAAATGGCTGTTACATTAGGCTATATTGAATGGTTTTTATATTAAAGCTATCACTTAGACTGATTCAAGCACACCTATTAATTTCTGTGGGAATAGCATGCTCTCACCTGATTCAGGCTCCTTACTTTATTACTTGGAGCACCTTGCAGCTAATAACACTCTTGAAATTGACAGGATCTGTGCATTTGAAGGTTGAATATAAGTGGTTGCGATGGGCTAAAAGGATCAAGCCCTCCATTCTGCACATCAGCGAATACAGGTTTTGATTATCTGACTAGGGAATTAGACACACAGGGATTTCCCAGCACTTTGAAAATAATAATTAACCCCCTTGTAAGATTGCTGGAAGTGCTGCAAATAGAATGCAAGTATCCCAGTCGCTGGTCTCCTGAATTATCCACAGGGCACACCATTTGTCCATGTAATATATGATCACCCTAGTTAGTGTGGGCACAGTATGCAGGAGGCTAAGCCACAGGTTGCCAGATATTACTTACTTGACGTGTTGCATTTCCCCCAGTTCTTCACAAATCACTTCTCATCAATGGCATTTAGTTGACAGAATACCTGTTTTGTTTCTTAGGACTGTACAAGCTGCTGGCGGGGTTTGAGGACAAGTCTGCCTATGCTGTTTGCACCTTTGCGTTTAGTTCTGGAAACCTGGAGGACCCAGTGAAGCTGTTCAAAGGCAAAACTTACGTAGGTATTCAGATTGCTGTGCAGATACAGGTGGCTCACCTGTATAGGGACATCTATATCCATATTTAGTTACGTAAATATGTGACCTTGTTTTTTCAGTGGATGCTGTGCATCTGCAGCTCCCATAGATTTCCATGGAAGCTGAGTGTTCAGCTTCTCTGATTATCAGGCTATTTATCTTGGTGTCCAAGGGGACCCAGGTTTGGCCCAAGGTTCTGAATGTTCAGTGGTGTTCCCTAAGCTTGGTGGCCTGTGCAGTCCTCCAGGACCCTTACATAAGCTAAATGTCTTGTTACATCATAACAGTCAGCTAACACCAGTTCCCAAAGCCTTTTATGTAGCTATGTCTAACTCATATTTGGGGGTTGCTTTTTCTCTCAATTCTTTCTAACATGGCCATAACTTCCTGGTACTGAGACGCACAGAAATGAACAGAGGTGCACAGCTGACTTGTCCGGATCTATCCACAACCTTAACTCCACCCAGCCTTTAACCTTGTTGCAGTTCCTCTCTCCTGATCCCCCAGCATGTTTTGTGTAAAAGAAGGCAGGCTTATTTGGGCTGACTCCTGTTCAAATGTTCTAGGATGGATGTGTTTATCAGAGGCAGTAGTGAAGGTTAGAGGGACATGCAGGAGGGGTGCATATGGGTATGAAAGGGTGGTGCACTGAAATCTGGTAGTCTGCACTGGTTTTGTCTTGGGAAAATGCTAATATTCTGTCAAGCATTGGGCTTTTGGTTGTTTCAAAAAGCAGGGATCAATGTAAAACGTTACTGAGTTTGTTTTCAGTATGTGAGAATCTAGAAGGTAAATGTTACAAAAGGTGCTGAAAAACTTTTTATTTCTTCCTCCTTGAATTGGCAGGGTCACATAGTTGAACCCAGAGGCCCCAGAGACTTTGGCTGGGATCCATGCTTCCAACCTGATGGTTATGAAAAGACGTAAGTGACTTTTTCTGTTTTCTTTGAAGAGCAGGCAGCAAAACTTGTGTTAAGTATTTGCTACTGTATAAAGTGGAACCTGCTGACTGCAGATTTTGGTAAAGAGAAGGTGGGATGGGATTCAAATAAAATCCTGGCTCTGTGAAGCTCTGGTTGAAGTGTGGAGCAGTACTCCCTACCTCAGTCCATCTCAAACTTCTAACACATTAGGACAAAAGAAGCAAGTTGTTCAGCATATTGTTGTTTCCTATCATTCCAGCTTAGGACCTTTCACAGACTAGTGAGAAGCAGCTGCTGGTTCCTCTGTCTCTAGTAGCTGCTAATAGTAAGATTGTTGAAGTTCACTGCACAGTTTTTTGGTTGTTTTTTTGTTTTTTTACTTGAATCTGAACCTAGGTAAGCTGCATCTGTCCGTAACATAGAAGAAATGGGCTGGATGGGAGACCCGATTTTTGTACTGAATTTGGGCAGTCATTTACAGTAATGTGAAGTAGCTTTTTGTTAGTGAAAATGATTGCACAGGGCAGCAGAGGTTCAGGTGTGTGGTCTGAGAGACACTTTCATTCTACTGTAAGATTTTCTCCATAATTAAGATGTGTTCAGTCTTGTGACCTTAATATGGTAAGAGAGAGAGCTTAGAAAGCAGAACTTGCCAAGAGAATGGGCTTTAGTTACAAGCAGAAATTACATTACAGCAGGCTTTATGATGAGAGAGAGCCCATAGTCAACATAGATGGCAGCTTCTGTCTATATAAGACATTCAAGGGTACCACATCTGAAAATGAATACAGTCGGTCATAAAAGGCATATTTAAAGCTTAGCATTATGAGAACAAATGGAGAGGCATTTGCTTTCCAGCAGGCTACTATAAACTAGGTGGATACAATTACCAAATAAGTTACGGTTTAGAATTCTGCTTTGTTGGATCTATGAATTTTCTTATTTTTCCTAATCGCCAGGTATGCAGAATTGCCTAAAGCAGTGAAGAATTCCATCTCTCATCGCTATAGAGCACTAAACGAACTCTCCAATTACTTCATCCAGCAGAGTAACTCAACAGATGCCACCTCCAGTCCCAGTTAGCTTTTTCTTTGGAGCCCATACTTCATACAGAAAGCTCTGTGTAAAATGTAATGTCCATTTGTGGTTGTTTGTACAGTGTGTACATTAAAGCTGTTCATTTTAAAGCCATGAATAGGTTGTGTTCTTCCATTTCTTTTCTTCTGAAAAGCACCTGCAAAAGGTAAGAGATCTATATTGTTTTTTAATTGCTGAAGTGCTCACACAAACATTTTTGTATCATTAAAATCTCACAGCCAGTTTGAACAATTTGCTGAACTTTTTTTCTGTTTTTTGTGGGATTGGTCTATTAAACATGATTTTGGCAGGTTATGAAATAAGATCAGTGAACCAACTGTTGCACAAGATTACTACTGGATAGTAGGCCTGTACGAAATAGCTAGTATTCGCTTTGGATTCGGCCAATTCGAGGGACAGTGATTCGATTCGGTGATTCGAATCACTGTCCCAAATTGATTTGGCTGAATCTGATTCAGAGATAATCAGCGGAATCTCCAAATCACACAGGCCCCACCCACCCCAGCTCCTGGGTCTTTGAAAAAGAAAAAAAAAAGCCCCAACTTACTGGCTGCTGCCAGGTGGGGAGTGATCCCTGCTACCCTCCACTGCCCCATGGGGGGCTCTGTCATGAACCCCCTGACCCCTGCCTGTTCCCCCAACCCCCCTATGGCTGCCTCACTCACCCCAGCTCCTGGCCCTTAAAAAAACCAAACAAAGCCCCAACTCACCGGCTGCTGCCTGGCAGGGGGGTGATCCCCACTGCCCCACGCTGTGTGAGCCCCCAGAAGCCCTGAAGCTGCAGCAGCAGCCAGTGAGTTGGTGGGGGGGGCAGCTATTGGGGGGGATTTCCTTAAAGGGCCAGAGCTAGGGTGGGCAGGGCAGCCATGGGGTGGGGACTGGGGGAGTGAGCAGGGCTCATGGGCTCATGATAGATCCCCCCCTGCAGCATGGGACAGTGGGGGGCAACAGTGATCACCCCCTACCTGGCAGCACCCAGTGAGTGGGGGCTTTTTTTAAAAGGGCCAGGAGCTGGGGCAGGTGGGCGGGGCAGCCATGGGGGGGCTGGGGGAGATGGCATGAGATGAGGCCTGACAGGGGTCCCCTCCCTGCTCCTCCAGGCCCCTCTCCCCTGCCCCCTACTTACCAGCTTGGAGCCTGGGTCCAGCACCCTATTGCAGCAGGTGGGGGCTGCCCAAATCACCAAAGCTCTCCGAATCTTTTCCAAATAGATTCACAGACCTTCAGATTAATTTGGACCTTTAAACTGATCCCCTGATTTGATTCAGATTTGGAGATTCAGCCACCAAATCTCCAAATCGAATCAGCACCCAAAGCTTTGCACAGCCCTACTGGTTAAAGCAATCGCCTTCCCATTCTCAGGTTGTGCGTTTTAATCTTACTGGCTAAAATGTCCTACATCTTGTTTATAGTAAACGTATCTGAGTCCCAGTTGACATCTTGCATATCTACATGGACATGAAATACAAGGTTACTCATGTATCAAGAAGAAACTTGCAGCAGTGGTTTGCTGTATATTGCTGGAATTAAACATGTCATAAGTTCTACTCAACTTTGAAAAAAACTGCAACTTCTTTAATAAATGAATTGTTTGTAGCATCTGCAGTAGCCAATGTACCCTCAGTTATCACACTCCCATGGTTCCCTGCTGGTATTCTGTTGAGTCTTAAATGTTGTAATACTCTTTCCCCCCCCCCCCCGTTCACAATACTGGACTTCATCAAAATTCCAATTCCTTCTGCACTGAAACTAGTAAACCTAGATTACAGCACTAGAAGAACAGAAGAATTCTATAAGTACAAATAGTAGGCACCAATAAAATCTAGGTGCACAAATAGGTCATCGTTTATGGCCAAGTTTGCATAAGCAATGGTGTGAAATCAGAATATTGTATTAGATCTCCTCAGACTCCTGGTAGAATGAGAGGTGGCTAGATAGATTGGAGAGAATTACCTGGTATGGTTGTGTTTCTGGTTAGAAGGAAAAATAGCGCTCTTGAAAAACTTCCTGGTATTTATTTGGTAGAAAGCCTTATTTCCCATCAAATGAGTGTTGCCTACACTGGGTAGGTATCATACTAGTTCAGAAGGGGTATGAGGCAGAAGGATGATAATGAGGGTAGATGGGAAGAGGTATATCTTCAGATCCATCACCCACAGGCACATCTTGTCTCCTTCCCTCTTTGATCCTGTTGAGGTCTGTAATGTAGATACCCATGTAAAAAGCTCCTGTGCCCTTTGTTCTGACTGTACTCAACCTTAGGTGGGAAAAAGCATGCCTGGCCCACTGTCCTTGTTACGAGTCCCACAACTGATGGGGCTCAGTGCATGCAATGCTGCTCTGGCTACAAGCTTTGTCAACTGCAGGGCTCACAGCTGTGGTACCTTACTACTGATACAGGGGGAGCTTGGTATCATGATCCCAGGCTCCCTCTGCACCAGCAATAAGGTGTGATTTTTATCTGATGCTGGACCCCACAATTGTGCCTCCTGCCATGCATGTGTAGCATAGCAGGAGGTGTGATTATGTGGATCATGCATCAACTCCTATCATGCCTTTACCTGAAAGTCTAGAGGGGCACTAAGTGACCCAACTTACAGCAAAGAAAAGAAACAGGGAAGGGGAAAACAGAAAATGAAAAGGGGGAGAGAAACTACTCACAAGACAATCACTCTCAGGCTGGGGCAGCTGTCAGTTCATCACAGGGCTTGTGGCTCTAGCCCGACAAGGTTAGATGACTAACCCTAGCCCAGTAATTCTCAGCCAGGATGCTATAGCCCCCTCAGGTGCCATGAGACCTTTTTTAAGGGGTGGTGCAGGGTGGCGTGCCACATTAGCACCCTTAGGTGTGCAAATACAATTTACAACATAACCTCAGAGATTTCATAGCATTAAAACTTGCACAATTACCTTAAGACCAGATTTCATGTGCAAAGTACCAATTGTCATGAAAAGCTCCAACCAGCTATAAAGCTAGACCTGAAAATGTGTAGTAACTTCCTAGGTGGCTGCTATTCAACTTCAATCTGCATAACAGGGTCTCCCTTGTGGCTGGGAACCCAGTCAGCTGTGGGCTTCCAGACACAGGGGTGCACCTTGCCCAGCCCCGGCTGAGTCCTGCAACTGCAGACTCTGGGTTCTAGCAGCACCCCACAGCGGCTGGGATCCAGTCGCACAGCTGCAGACACTCGCTCCCTACTGCAGCTGGGTCTGGCAGCTCCAGGGCATGGCTGTGATGTCCCAGCCCTAGGAGGTTTCATGCACCCCTGCAGCTGGGAGATCATGGTAGCTATGTCTCCAGGATGCAGGGGGTGTCTCTGTGGCTGGGGCCCCTTCGGCAGAGGTGGCTCCCAGCTGTAGGTGCTTGCTTCTTGCCCCTGCGGAGGGGGGGAGGATGGGAGGATAAGGCGTGACGGGATCCAATACGTTATCCCACAATCCCACCTGTCGTGCAGATGTGGCCAGACAAAAGGCATAATTGTGTGGATCCCGCATTAGACCCCATGCTGCCTTTACCTGCATGCCTAAAGGGGGCCCGGCGGCTTTGCACCAGGAGACTGAGCGCAGAAACGCTGAGAAGCGCTGTCCCAAACCGCTCTGGGAAGGCGGAGGGAAGCGAAGCCGCAGAGCTGGGCAGCCTGGAGATACAGCTCCCACAGCGCAGCCACAGCTGTGGGGCCTAGAGGGCGGCAGGTACAGCACGGGGCAGAGGGGGCTGAAGTTAGACTGAGCACTGACGAGCTGTGGGACCCAGGGCGCTTCACGTACACAGAGGAGCGAGGTTGAAAACAACCACCCGACTCCACGAGGGCTGCGGAACCTCGCGCCAAAAAAGGGGTGGGGGGACTAACGAGCCAATAGGGAAAGAGCCGGAACAAAGGAACGTCCAATCAGCTGCGAGAAGCGGACCCAATGGGGGAGACACCGAACCCGGATGCAGTCCTAACATTCCAAGATCGAGTGTTGGGAGAGAGCTGCGCGCCCGGGGGCGCCGCTGAGTGTGGGCTGTGATCGCAGTTGCCCCGTGCTCCCCTC